TCTAATTTGATTGAGGGAAACATTCTTTTTTTATTTGTTCTGGAAAGGAAATAATGTAGTATTGTGGAGAGAGAAGGTAGAATGCACTTCACTGGAAGGCTGGGTATTAAGCTCTGGTCCCTGAACTGTACTGCCCTACTGTGTAATTTTGGGTAAATCAACTCTTAGCCAATTATTGGTTTTGTCTTCTAGGAGAAGTGATTTTAGTCTCAGTGATCCCTGTAAGGTCCTAACATTCTCATTTTATGTTTTTGATAGAGATGGTTCCCAGTGCACATTTACTATTGCAGTTTCAGTTTAGCTTTACATTAGAAAGAAACGAGCATATGAGAATAAAGAGAAAAGCTACAGAAATGTGATCCTTTTTAACTGCCCCAAAAGTCTGAACAGAAACATATTAACCAGAAATACTTCTAAATATTTTGTCATACTTACAGCTATTCTTTAGCTTTTGGTTTCTTAGTACATATATAAAAGATATTTCTCATACCATGTTTGAGTGATTCTTTTATGAATCTTATACCATCATAATGCATTTTGGCCTTTTAAATTTAAGTTCTTAAAAAAAAAGCAATGAATAACATTATGTTCAAATTTATCAATTGCTAAATTGTTAATGCATGCTTATAATTCTAGGAGACCAAAAGAAACAAACACTGACTTTCTAATATAGAGGAGAGTCAACTTCCTTAATGGGCAGACACCATAAAGGAATGAAGCAACTGTGTACACAACATGAGTGGGTCATATGCACAAAGAGGAAGTTATACAAAACACTATGTCTGACGTACCTTTCCTAGATGTTTCAGATGAAAATATAACTTTAAAATTACATAAAATGTAAGTCTTTGGATTAAGGAAATGGTGAAGCCTGAACAAAGAGTATGGCTTTAATACCTCCAGGAAGAAGTTCAAATTAAGCATTTTCTTCCTCTAATCCCAGCAAATGTGTGGGAAGTGACCGAAGGGTTTTATAGAGAGAAGGCTGAATACTTGCAGATATGCTAGACATGAATTTTCCTAGCCTGTGTGGAATTTTCAGACACAATTAATGCTCTTTTTGCAGTAGCACTCTATCAAACTTTACGTTGATTTGGAATTTAGACAAGGACTAACTTTCTTTTTAAATGCTTCTAGAATCTCAGAAAAGGTACAAGCAGCAGAATAAGAGGTGTTGGATATGTAAGCCAATTTTTCTAGTCTCTCTTGAGTCTCTTGACACCTTGGGGTGAGATAAGTTTGATAAATGGTTTTCAGTAGGTATTTCACTTCTGTTCTTTCTCTCCAGAATTTTCTGACAATCAGGGAACTTCAAGTTATTTGGACCTGTGTATTGAAAATGGCTGCCTAGTTTTCTGCACTCAAATTATCCTAACACCAAGGAGGACAAGCAGCAGACAGCTGAGAAGAGCTTTACCGAGAGTAAGGGTAGTGCATAAGTGAAAGGCCCTTGTCGGGGGACTAGAGAAAAGTTATTCATCGTGTTCAACTGTGCTATAACAGGGAGGAATTACAGTTTTTAAATTTCCAGTTCAATTTTTTCTATATTTAAAAATATATCCTGATTTTTTTGTTAGTCAAATGAAAACATTTTAGAAATTTTTACTTGATATGCATTAGTCACATACAACTCTACTAAGCTATAATTCAAAATCCTCAGTCAATGACTGAGAATGAGGAACTGGTTTTCAGTTAAAAACTGTTAAGGCAATAGGAATTTGACCCAAGAAGGGAGCCTTTTAATTCTTATCTTAGCTCAGATCTCATTATAGCTTCTGAGACTACAATTGAACATTTCATGTGATATGAACAATGAAAAGATAAAATCGTTCACACATGTAACACTCCTCCAAGCAAAACAGGATACAGATGTCAAGAATTGGCAGATAAAGTCACAGCTTCCACAGGACAAACATAGGCCTAGACAGAATACTCACTACCAGGCAACTTTTTCCTTTCAGTTGCAAAGAAACATATACATAACCATTTGCTTATCAAGCATGCTAAATTTTCAAGACCATAAAAGAAAGGAGTTTCTGATAATGCAGCAGTGCCTCATAATGTTCCAGCTATGGGGATACCTTTATAATCAAACGCCGGCGAATAACTCGGGTAGTGACTCTCCGTTCTTCCTCTGAGCTTGAATCACTCTCACTGTTTCTAAAGTCCTGATAAATGCATTTTTAGTATAATTTTACCATCACATTTAAAACAAGACATTCTGAGAAGGGAAATAAGAAAGTTATTTTTACTTGCTGTTTCCCCCCAACCCCAAAGGAAAAATCATGATATGTACTTGTGAAAAGTCTTAAAAGTTGTGAGTAGGATTCTCAATGAAATTACTCTATGTATATGTATGAAATACATATAACACATTTAATTATGTATGCATACGTATGTATAAAAGCATATAGAGGTAAAGATAAGCTAAATCATACATTAAAAGTAACAACAGAGCCCTTTTGGTACCAGGAACTACATGCTACTAATTTGACGAAGCATTAATATTCACTTTTATACTAATTTTAAATTATTTAATCAAATAATCTAATCAGAGTTTGTAACTTTGTAGTTGAGGCCATGTTTCACTTGATCTACAAAAAAAGGCATAATTGGGACTCAATTTGTCAAATGAATGAATAATATAAAACAAAAGCTTGAAGTCTGATTTTAAGGAACTAATATGAAACTAGAATAGAAAAAGAAGTATTTAACAGATAAGTATGGTACAGACAAGAATACAGTAATTGCACAAAAGAAATAGTTTTCATGTTTCCCCATTACTTTTAAAGAATGCTTGGAAAAGGACTGCAAGTTCAGGACATTTAGAATGTCCTATGAATTGTGGAAGGGGACCCTGTAATGGCTCAGAAAGGTGAAAAAAAAGTAACAGGAATTAATAGTAAAATAATTACTGAGCATTTAGGGATTACTAAATTAGATAAGGCAAAGGAAAAAATTATTCTGAATATCTAAATAGGAAATATTGAATTGGGGAAAGGTTTTCACTTGGGTAAATTCAAAAGCATAAAATGTTAATGCAAATACAATAAGTATGTATGTCAATTATTGCATAATCACATCAAAAATCATCTGAGACCAGCTCCCTTACATGAAAGTGGTCATTTGGTCAATGTAAGTTTCTACTTCCTCTCTGGAGTCTCTGATAATCTTCAAGTGAACAGTACAGAGAAGTTGGTAATAGAATCTCATTCAGGATTCCTTTAAGAGAGTTGACTAACAATAGGCAAAGTGGGAAACTAGAAGACCAAATGGAATTTTCTAGTACTCCTGGCCATGGGTGGAAAATAGCAGAATTTTACCTTGTAACAGCAGGTAGTCATCCGTGTAAAGGCTGCACCTGGACTTCTGACCTGATTTTCAGGGGACAAAAAGGGGGCTGTTTTCTGATCTCATAAGATCACCTAGGTGGTTGTTACTGTCCTATGGTCTAGCCACAAAAGATACATCCTGATTATTTTTGGCTTTCTTGTGAGGTCAGGCTCCTATCTCCCAGAAACTAATTCCACTGTGAATTTATATGCCCATGAAGTCTACATTGGGATGGCACAGTGATCAATGCTGAAGACATAAACTGAATTATAAGCAATCTTGAAAACATTTTCAAATAGTAATTATTTCCCATTGCTGATGATCTTAGCTGAGTTTCCATTCAAGGTTAAGACTTGTATGTCTGTATGTCTTCTCCTTGGAGGCCAATATGTATGCAGATGTAGTTGCAAAGCAGTACTTATTTATACTTATAATTTGATTTCAGAACACCTCTATTGAATTTTAATGGGCTTTTGCAGAACAAATTTTCATAGTTAAAACATCACTACGTCACTGCTTCTCCCTATATTTCAGTAGGCTCATTTTAAAAGGGAACATTCCATCCAAAGGCATACTGTTTAAATATATTGAGTTAACTCAAAGACAGAAACCCATATTCAAAGCCACATTTAACAGGAAGGCAGTGGAAGAAAGCCCTGAGAATTTTACTTCCTTTTACTTTCCCTCTCGCTAACAAGTAGGAAAGTGGTCAAAAGAGAGCCTGCAGAAGGGAAAAGGAAAGCATGTCATTAGTTGGTAAGCTAATAATTAGCTCCACAGTAATTGAGTTTTGAAGTCTCAAATTAATCATGGACTCATTTGTTTTTTTCAGTGCAAAACTTTTAGTACCTCTTAAGTAAACTAGCGTGTCTTATGGAAAACTAAAAGTGTTACTATTTCAAAGACCTGTAATTTACAACTTAATGTCTATTGCACAATTCATGAAAAAGCACAAATACTGTGAGAGTGAAAAGCAGTAAAAATATAGGAAATTGAGCTGATTTTCTTGTATCGAAGTTGTATTTTCAAATTATTTTTGGTGGCAAATTTCACAGAAAAAGAAAATCCATTGTATCCCAATAAATGCAAGTGGAAAGAACAAGCAAATGATTCAGTAATACTTATCTTAAAAATAACCCTTATTATATAATTATCACCTTATATACTTTACATTTCTGAATGCTGTGAACCAACAGTGACATAGCTCTACCTCATTTTAGAAACTGCATTTCTTCAATTTTTAACGCAGACTCTCAGGCCACAGACCTTATAGGTTAGAACTCTTGAGATGGTTTCAGGCCATTGACTTTTTAAATTATGTGAAGGTATCAGAAAAATTATCCCACTTCCATAGGAAAGAAGATTGAGTTTGGAGTTAGGAACCTAAATCCCAGACAAAATCATATTGAACTATAGCCAATTATTTAATAAAAATATTTCCCTTCTGAAAAATTACTGAAGAGAAGCTTATTGCATTTTCTTAATGAAACAAGGTATGATCAAATAGCACGTTTTACTTAGTACTTACTTTACTCCCACCATTAATACTATAATTTTCAATCACACATTTATACATTTATAATTTGGAAATAGTAAGGCCCGTGATGCAAGATTAAAACGAAGCATCAGTACTTTCTTTTAAAGTGACAATGGCGTACTGTACATACCTTTTGCTCAGACCCACTGGACCCCTCTTCTTCATGGAGGTTAAGCCTTGGCTTGCCATCTGCAGGAGAAGTCCTATTCATCTTTTTCATACTGACAGGCACACAGGGTTTAGGTTCTTCTATTACAAACTTGCTGGTTTCTTCTAGAGATTTCTGATATGCTGCTAGCGATGACACTGGTTCCTCAACACGACCAGATCCGTGTATTTTTGGTTTCAGAGATTCCTTAGCATTCTGTTTCCCTGCATCATTTTGGGTTTCTGGAAAGTAAGATTTCATCTTTGCTTCTACAGTAACTTCTGCATGGCTTCCATTTGCTTCAAATTTTCCAGGCTCTCCTTTGAGATATGAGGTAATAGAATCTCGACACTGATCAGGGCTGCAAAGGGTAAAATACGAATGTTTGCAATGGTAATCTATGGCTGAAAGTAGGTAGGCCTCAGAAGCTCTAAATTGGTAACAATCATGTTCTTAATGGCTTTTAAAGACATAAAATAGAGAGGCATGAAAAAAATCTGATTACTAGATTTTAAGGGTAAGGAGGTACTCTATAGGCTCCAGAGACTCTACTCAACTCACACCCACATTAGTTATTCTATCATCATCTATGGTGTTTCTTTTACAACCTGAGAACCTATTTTAGGATAGTAGTAGTCTTAACTTTTATTTTATTTTTTTATAGAGGCATGTTTTATTTATTTATTTGTTTGTTTGTTTATACATGCACTGGGTATAGTCAGAAGTGCGGGAGGGTGGGAGAATTCACCAGAGCCAGAGCGGGGAGCAGAGCAGGCAGAAGAACCGAAGTACACTGCTGAGGGGAGCAGCAGGCGGCAGGAGAGGTCTGCGCGCCATGTGGGACCCTCCTCTGGTGGCCGGGGAGCAGCTGGGGATCGAACCGGCGCCGCAGAGGCCGCAGGCAGCTTCGCAACCCAGCGCTCAACCGCTGCGCCACCGGGGAGGCCCAGTAGTCTTAACTTTTAAACCTAGTTAAAGGGATATTCTTAGGACTTAGAAATTCATCCAAAATCACTCAGTGCAGACTTAATGAGATTTGAAACAATGTCCACAGGACACTTGACTTTCACATTTGTAGAGTAATGCCAGAATAAGTAGATCCAGATTCATAAGGGAATTATATTAATCATAAAAAATAGTCCATCGTAATAATATTATTTGGAGTAAATAAGTACATGTGCTTTTGGAAATTCTGTGAAATAATGTAGAAAACAGGGAAGCATACGTGTTCCTTAGTTTAGGAGGATGGCTTTTCTTTTTGCTTCTCTATTTTCTACATTGACATTAAAAATTACTGGATGATGGGGTTGAATTGATTTTTTAAATTTATGCTTATTTTACAAAATTTTAATATATATTTAGTTTGTGGACAGGAAACAACAGAAATGCTTATGTTTCTAAGAGACTTTTAGTTGTATTACATTATTTTGAATGAGCATTACTGACTGTGTGAAAAGACTAATGCAACAAGTAATATACTAGCCAACAGTAGTTTTCCAAAGTAAATAAATCTTTTGCACGTATTAAAAACCTTTTGCATCTTCCTTCAGTCCATCAATAATTTTAGTAATTATGAGTTTAATGTAACCTTTCCCCTCTTCAGATTAACAGAATATACCACCAATTAAGACAGGTATTCTCCACAAGCTGGAATAATGATTTCAAAAGTTGAATTGCTAGAAAGCACATATTTAAAACAAACTATACTAACATGTGACCCCTGTTTCATGTTCCTTTTCCGAAAACAAAGTCATACCTGTCATCCAGTCGATCTAGTAACCCACCAGTTATTCTTCGAGCTTGAGTGGGGGACTCAAGGGTTCCACTTGATGTCTCATTCTGCCAACCTGTAATTGAAGACATTTCCAGTTCTGCTTGCTGAACACCTTTAAGAATAGCCTGGACTTTTTCTTCTGTCATCTCCTCAGACTCTATTCCTTCTTCAAGTTGAATGTCCTCAAATAGAGATTTGAGTTTTTCTTCCATCATCTCCTCATCAGGACCAGATTTTTCTTTCTCATGCTGCTCAGAGCTTACTCCTAATTTTCTAGTCTGTTTCAGTGGCTGTGCTGGTTTAGCATCTTTTGGGACCTCAGCCATACTTCCAAGGTATTGAGGGTACTCACTCAGACATACATTCTCCAACTGGCTCTCATCTACATCCACTGCTTCAGGCATTTCTGTTAAAGGCATTGAGTCTTCAAGTTTGCTGTCTTCTAAGGAGGTATCTTCTGCAGTTACAACTGGAGGTCCATCTGCTGAATGGTCTATGTTTCCCTGGGATGGTGCTAGCCCATCACTCAGTCTACTGGGGGTTCTAAAGGGAGATTCTATACTAGAGATATCACTAAAATAATCATCTTGCTGGAAGGGGGTAGGTGGTGTGTAGTGCAACCCTGTGGGAGTTTCCAGTTCCATTTGAAGGGAAGGATAACCTATGGAAGACAGTACATTCGGACTGACTGTAATGAATTAGAGAACATCCAACAAAAACACATGGAATGACTTAAATTATATAAGGCATGAAAATGTATGATGAGTTACAGAGTAATGTTGATAAGTTTGTTTGTTTAGTTCAATTAAATGTAATACAATGAAATAAAAGCCTGGCGCAAACGATAGTAAATTATCTACTAATTAAGATATAGATTGTTTCTATCAATTTTGATGATTTCAATGCAGTAATTTATATACAGTCTTTGTAACATAAAGTTAGTCATCATTATATACTCTTACAATATAAAGTTAGTTGTCATTCTATAATAGATACCTTTATACCATGGCCAAATTTACTATTTTCTATAGCATGCAAAATCCATATTGTGGTGGACTGTATACAGCAAACCACAAGAAACCAACTTTGTAATTAATACTTACATTAAAAAAAAAAAACATACGAATGAGCAGTGCTACCCAACTCTAATCCTCACCTACTTCATATGAAATTCTAATAATGAAAATGAATTAATCTTTGGAATGGAATGATTACTAAAGCAGTAGCAATGGGAAAACAATCTAAAAATATGTTAGGAGAAAGATGTAAAAAGCAGACCAGGAGAAAGCTCTGTGTAAAGTTTTGAAGCATCGTAACGTTTTACAGAGATGAAAGGGTTGTGGCATGTAAGGAGGTCTTGGTAAAATGGGTTCACTCAGAACCACAAATCAAAAAAAGGAAAAAAAAAAAAAAGGAAATGATACACAGCAGACACAGGAGGAAAACCACACGCAAAGAGCTCTGAGTATAACTGGAAATGCTATGAAACAGGTTTACTGACCAGCCTAAGCAAAGGGGAAGCAGGGAGAATTCTCTTGTTTTAAATTTTGCTGTGCAGACTAATGGAGTATTTTTCTCCTTCAGCAGAGAGAAAACTCAACGATTATCTGGTCATGGTGAGGAAAGGAAGTTTCACAAAAGTTCAATGATGAGGAGAGACGGGAAAAAAAAGAGAACCAAGCACATTTTCTGAATTATTGGTCTAACAAAGTGAAAGCCTAATTTTTCCATCAGTAAAGAATACATACCAATGTAGCTTTTGGTCTCAAGTTGAATTGCTAAAGATAAGTGAGTAATTTTCTATTCTGGTCATCAATAAGCCAGAATTTTGTTGAAAAGCTGGTTGTGATTAGCTAATGTTTATAGCCTGCATAAGTGAAATTTATGTCATATACAAGTTGCTAAATTTCCCTAATAATTTTTATAAGGAATATAAAATATTAAAATGTCACAACAAAAAGTTCTGGTGGATGTATTTAATCACCTCATTTTAGAACATTAAACTTTCAAATCTATTAAATACTTCTATTGTTTTCTTTCTTTCTTAGAGCTACTCCATTTTTTTTTTAACAATAAAGAATATTAAGAGAAACTAAACTGTATTGGCAATAATTCAGATGTTGACATAGACACTGTCCTGTCTTCAGTGCAAAAAGAGTTTGCTTACCAACATATGGCCTCATATATAAGACAAGGCTTGGAAAAAGCTTTTTTCCCAAGGTTCTGTGGTATTTTTTTGGCTTAAATAGAAACCACTTTGACATTACCTATCATGTTTATATTATGTGAATAACAAGTTATGCTTTAAACTTTCTGCTGACTTTAAGTCTTTTACCATATAACATGCAGAATTAGATGTTATCTCTAATTAGTCTAACTTCGGCATTATAAAAATTGAAAAACTATCTCCATATTTTTCAAGCCTTGGAATAGTAGAAAAAAGTCCTAGCTCCCTGTCTTGCTCCATGACATCACTTTAACTCAAAATTCATTGTAGGAATACATTTCTATTTGTGAACATAAGACAAGCATTTTAAAAAACATAGTAAGTTATCTCTTAATACTTTGAGGGAAAGATGACATTATTCTATAAGCTAATGCGAAAGAGTAATTATTATTATTAGTGACATCTATGCTCACTGAATTAGAAACTATGCCACCTTCTATAGATGGTAGATTGGGGGGGGGTTGCGGAGGAGAGGCTTCAAAACAGTAAATGAAGCATATGAAGTGAAAATAATGCTAAATAAAAAACACTATTTTCAGTGCTACATTAGATTTTTTTTTAATACTTGGCTTAAATACTTCATTCCCAAAACTGCAATTCACCATTTTACTTGATATGTATAATACATGCTTAAACTTGATATAATACATTGCCTGTTACTTGGTAACAGCAGCTCACAATTTGATTTTACCTATGTGTGAATAAGAGTTCACTATGACAAAAGCCACTCATTCTCTAGATAATGAATTTTCTTCATATAAATTTGTTCATATAAAATATCTGAAACACCAACTCTGTCAGGTAACATGCTTTTCTATTTCAATATTTACATTTCACATAGCAGAGATATTTACCAAGTTTTTTTTTTCTGTCAGAATGTTTACAGACCCTGGCAGAGAATATGGTGTGAAAATGAGAAATTCAGTCGGTTTTAAGTGACTATCTTATCCTACAGCACTTTCAAGTTTTATCAAATCATTAAATATGAACACTAAATTACCATCAACAGGGTCATGGAAGACATTGTTCTCATCTGCAAAACTTCTGGTGCCTGAAATATTTCCATAATCAAATATTGGTCCTTCTAGCAGAGTCACTATATCTATCCGATTAATTTTTGTCAAGACCGAAGTTAAGGCATCAGCTGAAAAAAGGAGAAAAAAAGGTTGAAATCCCAATTAAGTTTTTTTCTAGTCATCAAAATAGCCACACAAAAGCATGGCTTTTGTGACCCTCCAAGCATTTTATCTCCTTCTTCACCCAGCTGTAATATTATCATCGTGAGGGCTCAGAAAACTTACTGCTACAGGGAAGACAAATTAGGGTCTTAAGAATCACTGTGAAACTGTATGATGACAGCAGTATTCATTCCTCTGTAAGATGTAGAGCTGACGGGCCTCAGAATAGCTAGATTCTTGTTAGGTGTAAGGGGATGTAATAAAAATTTAAACACACCCCTATCTTTTTAGACTGTCAAATGGGTCACCCTCATATTCGATCCTTAGCATTTTAATAACTTACTAAAGTCAAACTGACAGACACAAGTAATCCATAATAACTTATTCCAAATTGTCATTGGTTGGCATGTGTCACAGTACAGCACCGCTCTCCTCTCCCCAACAAAACCCTACAATTATATTCTCAAGTCACCACAGACCAAGCCCAGTCAAATGACTGGAACCCTTATTTTCATCCTATCCTTGTTAGCTCCCTGAGAGATGTCCCTGACTACAGCAGTAACGTCAGAGTGTCTGACTACCCCACTGAAGTCATAATTTGCCAGCAAAAATTACTTTTTCCTTTTTTACTATCAGAGAAAGCTAGACAAAATGAAAACATTTTCCTACTACTTGCTTTCCAAAAAGTCTCCTGAAGTCAGAAATATACAATATTAGTACTAAATGAAACAAATATAACTTCAAAGATTTACTATTCATAATCACTCTGATTTTATCAACAGTAGGCTTATCTAAAATATTGGTTATATACAGTCTTGAAAGTTAAAGTAATATAATTTCAACATACTTGTAGCATTTTTTCCATCTCTGGTAACCCATTTTTTTAATAACATGAAACTCTGAGAAATTAAGGAATTTGGATTTTCCACACGTATTTGATTGATTTCATCCACTGAAAAATTCAGTTCCCTTGCCAGTTCTGTAGAAAAGAAAAAGAACATTTCATATTCTACTTTTATCATATATCATAAAAGTAATGCTCAATGACTACCAAACCCCCCCAATAAAACAGGAGAGCAATTTATTTTACAGTAAAACCCAAGTATAGCCTTGGGAATTAATCTCTGTATACGTCACTTCACAGGAAAGTAGTGACCATCTATAGGCTGTGATTTAACTCTCCTCAGGTAATTACTTAGTTACAAACAGACTCTCTTCAGTGGTTATTTTACAAAGATTCTTGATCTTTACAAAGAGGATGCTGTTGATTCTTTTAATTCAGTGTTGTAATTCAGTAATTTGAAAAAATGTCATACAAGCTAGGTAGGGAAATACAACTCATTAAATGCAGCCCTAGATTTACTGTTGGGGCTTTCCCTAGGCAATCTTCATGAAGTACATCTTTTACATCTGTAACATTCCATTCTAGATGTCTTCAAGTTTTATGAACTCCACTGGAGAGACTGATGATTCCAGTCAGGTCACTGTCTAGATGTGCTGCCACTTGTGAGAAAAATAAATGGGAGATAGTTTTCTGTGTATCTAAATGCACATACCCAGATACTCAATCTTGGAAATGCAGAGTGTCTGTGTAAAGACACCTGTGATATAATAGTTACTGCCTTGAGAGAGGGAAACTCAGGAGTCAAAGATGGGAAGAAGACTGACTTTTCATGGTAAAGTTTTTGTACAATTACAACAACTTATCAGGTATTATCTTAAATGATTGCAAAATGGAATAGGAAAAAACCCTTCCATGGAAATGGAATTGGTAAAGATTCTTTCCCTCTTAAGATCTATTTCCAGCAGCATGGCAAAATGCATGGAGGTTCAAAAAAGTCCATATCCTCGGACCAGGTGATTCACTTTTGGAAATCAACTGCGGGGATATATAGGGATGGACACAATGATTTTCATACACAAATGTTCATCGTAGGCATGAACTGCTAAAAATACTGAAAACAATCCACATGTTGAAAAGGAGAGGGTGAATTAATATAATGCAGTAGATTGAAAACTGCTTTGATCAAGTCCTACAGTTAGAAGTACATCACATATCATGGTGTTTATATAAGTGAATAGATTTTCCCTGAACAAAACTGAGCCTAATACATGTAGTACAGGCTTTTTCTTTTCTATTCCTCTTGAAAAGAAAAACAAGGCATGAATTGCTGCCATGACTTAATAGTGCATTGCGACCCACAATTAGAAAAACACCATTGTAAAGTATGTCTATTGGATATTTATTTATACATTAAAACCTAAATCAGAGAGTATTTAATTTTGTAGAAAGTATGTAATTACTAATTGAAAACAGAAAACTATACTGTGTATACAGCATTTTAAAAGATTTTTACGAAACTCAAGAGTAAATTAACATGCTAAGAGTAGTTTGAGGGACAGATTTAAATTTTGTTCTTCTAAATGCTACTTTTCCTAATAGCTTCCATCTAGGATATAGTTATTTGAATTAGAAAATTTAAGTTTATCTCTTTGTGTTTGAAGAGACGATATTCTTTATTGCCCAGCAAGAGTTCATTGACCAAAAACTATCCTTAATTTGGAGACTCACTGAAGAAGAAAGATACACTGTCACTAAGAATTTATAGTAAGTTTTATGGCTTTATGTCTGGCCATTTTTAATGTCACATCTTCTATAAAATTTACTCTGACAAATTAAGAACTGTATTCGCTGAAGGAAAATAATCACTAATACATTTTCAAATATCCATCATTAAAATATAAATATTATTTTGATGTTGGCAAATATTTATTCATAATGAATTGCTCTTAACTCTCAGCAACCTGCAAAGAATCGATTACTCAGCTCACCTGTCTTTTCAAAGCTCAACTGTGCTCCAGGTCTTTAGCAGTTGGCCTGCAAGCCAACTCTATCTTAAGACTGGGTGTTAGATAAACAGAAGGTTTAATATGTGGAGGGAGGTGGGAGTTAGAGCATTCAAAAGAAAAAGAATACTTTGTTTGCCATGATCTAGTTTCATATTCTCCCACTTTTTTTTTTTTAAGATTTATTTATTTATACAAGCACTGGGTACAGTCAGAAATGCGGGAGGGTGAGAATTCACCAAAGCCAGAGCAGGGAGCAGAACAGGCAGATGGACGAAATACACTGTTGAGGGGAGCAGCGGGCGGCAGGAGATGTCTGTGCACCATATGGGACCCTCGCCTGGCGGCCTGGGATGGAACTGGCGCTGCAGAGGCTGCGGGCAGCTTCGCAAGCCAGTGCTCAACCGCTGCGCCACCGGGGAGGCCCTCATATTCTCCCACTTAATAGCACAGATATTGTTTCCCTGAGTATGGAATGTATGTTATTAATGATATGCAAATGACCTTAACTATAATAATTAGTACATTTTAAACTAGTATGTTTTTTGGCCACACCTAAAAAAATTACACTCATCTGTTAAAACTTAAATTTCTCTTATTCATGTGAAGCAAGATTTGGGGGGGTCCAGTTAACATGAAATTACAATGCAGAACTGTCCAATTTACACAGAACTTTATCAGCAAGATCAAGCCCTATATTCCTTTCCTACACACTGATTGTACAATCATAAGTGGTTTCATTCATTTCACAGAACTCAACTGTTTTTTTAAATTGAATAATTTATTTATATGTATCCTGGTTTAAAATTTTTAGTTCAAAATTTCAACTCGCTGTTTTGTTCTCTTGTTTTTGTAGTTATTAAAAATTATCCTGTTTTTCATTATCCAAGTGATAGAAGATTTCCTTTTAAGTAAATCCCTGACCACTTCCAGTATTAGGCAAATAAACATAGCGATTATGTGTTTATCATAAAAAAACTATGTTTGTCCTCATCGGACAGCTCATACTGCATCTTTTTGTCTTCTTCAGAGAGGCAGTCCACAAGCTTTAAGGCCTCACCACTAATTCCCTTAAAGCACAAGTGGGTGCAGAATGTTCTGTCAGAACTATAATGCTTGTAATGTTATCTGTCTGTATGGTAGAAGAATCCAAATTGTTGTTGTTGTTAAAGTTATCTTTTGGAAAATTGCATTTTTCTTGGGGCCTAGTGCCCATCTGGCTATTGGCTGTACTTGAAATCACTGTATTTGAAATCACATGAAGAGGACTCATACATGACTAAAATTTATGAAACCTGAGCACATATCAATTCACTATTGCCTATTACAGTCACTCTGAGGGCATAAATCACATCTACAAATTTTGGATTATTTGTCATAGCCTTAGCTCTGTCTTCCTTAATGCCATAAAATAAATTTGCTAGTAGGTAAAAGTGTATCCTGTATTACCAGAAATGGCTTTATGAAGAAAGCATTTAAACTTAATGTTGAATAATATTTAAATTTCTATTCTCCTGTGTCTATGATTAGAAAAAGCTTTGAAAAACTCAGTATAGAATGTACTAATAGTAATTCTTTCTGGGTAGATAGGATTACGGGTGATAAAAATGCTTTTTGTTGCTTGTTTCTGATAATGAAGCCCATGTAAGATAAACTGTATCTGTCTCATTCCGGAGCGTGCGCACTTACCTGTCCAACTAAGTCCAAGGTGATCAGCTACTATTGCCATCCTGATATCTGTCCGTTCACATGGACTCTGTGGACCTACGATTTACAATTTCTTAATTAAAATTATCATCAAGAAAGATAGGATACTGGAAAATTGCTTTTAGCAGTACTCAGATTTACAGAGAGACTAATGCTAACACTGTACACTTAAATGTGTCCTAATCACCTACATGAACACTTGTCTTTTCACATGGCTCACTGGATTTTCACCTGTATCAGGTCAAATGTCAGACTACATGGATGCTCATGTAATGGAATTGAACATGCTGACAAACTAGCTACTTTACAACAATTACGGAATTGTGTCGGTGACAACACCATGATGGAATTTCAACATCTGTGCTTTTACTCTGACAGAATCATATTTATTAGCACATTTAAAAAAAAATAGTTGCTCATCTTGAATGACACCAATTTCTTCAGCATGCTTCCCTAGCTGTCTACAGTGTAGTTTGGTTAAAAGGAAGAAAGAAGAGCATATAAAGACAGCACATACAGATGACAATGACAGAATGAGAAACTACGGTTAAGTCACTCCACAGGCAATCACGACAGTTCATGCACTAGAGTCTACGAGTTGGAAAGTGTTTACAAACTATGCTCGTTCTCCAGGATGTGAGCAAAGAGCGCTCAGAAACCTGACTGCCTTCATTCTCACCAGTCCTCCTACTGCTCCTTTTCTCACTGCCGGCCTTTTCACTCTTTGATTTTAAAGGTGCTGCCTCTGTTTTCTTATCTCTAGCAGACTTCGTTGTAACTGAAGGCTGGCCACCCCGGGAAGTCTCGGACAACGACGTGTTTCTGGAGGTACTGTCTTCCTCATCGGACAGCTCGGACTGCATCTTTTTGTCTTCTTCAGAGAGGCGGTCCACAAGCTTTAAGGTCTCACCACTAATTCCCTTAAAATATTCAATGGAATGTTTACAAACTTCCTTAAGCTGACTCTTCCTAGCTTTAGCTGTGGTGGTGGTGGTGGTGGTGGTGGTGGTGGTGGAGGTGGTGGTGGTGGTATTGGTGGTAGTGACACAGGTGGATCTTACCTTTACTGGCAACTTGGATGGAAGCTGTTTGACCTTGCCTTTCTCTGACTGCCCTGGCCTTTGTGCGGCACATGTTTTTCTAACTAGCACTATGTTATCCCTATGTGTGTTTTTTACTGGAATTCTGGACTTTACATCTACACATGAAGAAGAAGCAACGGTTTTAGTTTTTTCCGATTGACTGACCTTCATTTTACTCACTTTATTGTTTAGCATATGATTTGGTGGAAAGATATCTTTTGGTGAAGTGGCCTTTATGGGAAGTTTGGATTTTCGCCTAACCCCTATTGATTCCTTTGTCTTTTGCTGCTCTCCAAGAACTTTCTGCTTATCTCTTATACAGTGTCCTTGCAGTACCCCTGTCTTTTTTCCTGATGAGCTTTTCACTGGATTTGCCTTCTCTGTGGTACAAGTGGGTGCAGAATGTTCTGTCAGAACTATAATGCTTGTAATGTTATCTGTCTGTATGGTGGAAGAATCCAAATTGTTGTTGTTATTAAAGTTATCTTTTGGAAAATCGTGTTTTTCTTGGGGCCTAGTGCCCATCTGGCTATTGGCTGTATTTGAAATCACTGTGATAGTTTCATTCTCTAATCCCTGACAACTGGTCACCACAGCTTCTATCTTATCTGTTACTTCTCCAGGGCCTTCTTTCTTCATGGTCATGGTGGATGCAGAAATTCCCATTTTTATAGGCGTGCGCAACTTGGGATCAACTTTAGAGGTGTTAGTGGCGGCTGATGCTTTCTCCAGGGAGCCACTACCGGATGTGCCTTCCTGACACTCTCCGCTGGTCGGGATGCTGGGGTTGGATTCGGCTGTAGGTGCCTCTACATTTCTCTCTAGATTGGTTTCTACAGTGGTGTCCCCTGCCTGTGGTTGTGGTGTGGCAGTGACCATACTTTTATCCCCTTCCCCCTGGTCCCCTGACTTCCCTTCAGAAGTATGCTCACCAATCTGGAAAAATTGGAGCCTCTCTTCAACAAAATCCCTCTTGCTCATGTCAATTGCACCACTGCGAGTCATCTCAAACATTTTTCCTTCATGAAATGGGAAGGGGTTAGGCTCACTAGTTGGGGTACTTTCATCAGTTGGCGTTCTGGCTGGCGTTGTATCAGGGGTTGTTGCTGGAGAGCGGTCTTCTACTGCCAGACCAAATGGCTTTGTCTCATCTTCCCGTGATTTACCATCAAAAACTTCATCATCCCCTCGGTTACTAGACCAAGGGTCGAAATCTAGACCTTTGGTGGCTACTGTTTTAAAAGGGGTGGCAAATTCTTCATCTACTTTGTAACTGAAGTACGTATCAGGAAACACTGATCTATCAGGATGTCTGCCTTCTAGCGTGAAAAACTGGGCCCCCGACTTCTGGTCAGGCTTATCAGGAGTCTTTTCAGATGAAGAACTTTTAGATGGTGGCTTATCCTCATCTGGGCCCACCCTTCCTTCCTCCTCTATAACTTCGAGTTTACTTTGGCTAAACGAGCGATCAGCCGGCTTGAGAATGCCCTCTGTGTTCCAGACGTCCTTCTTAATTTCCATGGTTTGACTAGGGAGTTTCGAATCACTCTCCGTCAAGCCATCATCCTCATCTTGAAGGTCGTAGCCATCCAGAGAGTCGATCTCTGTGGCATCTGTATCATGAGAAAACTCGGCTGTGGTGGCAATGGAACACTCCGTGATGGACTGGTCATTGTTCCCGTTCTGAGCAGTCTCATTCTGAGGTGAATCAAGGCCAAGGCCAAATTCATGATCTTTTCCAGATCCATTTGTTTCCAGTTCTTTCTGCTTAGAAGCCTTTTCATCAGGAGTTTTGGATTTTGTCATTTCTTTTTGCTCATCGTCTGTATCTTTTAATTTGAAGGTATATTTTTTAACTGGAACTGGTTGGTAAATAGATTCATCATCGCTTGAATCGCTGACATCTGCCCCGGGAGGGACGGGTGAAGGTGGCTGCACTCGGATGACGGGCTCGGCCAGCTGGTACTTGTCATGCTCATCTTGCAGATTGACTTCAATCATGTCCACCTCTCTTTCCGGGAGATAATGATGTTTCTTATCTGACTCCATCTGGTCTGCATCCAGTGGTGGAGGAGGGGGAAATTCAATATAGGCAACTCTGTTATTTTTGGGCCTTTGGTTAGAGTCTTTGCTCACACTGGCCGGTGTTTCAAGCTTGACTGTTGTTTCTTCCACTGTCGTCTGCTTTAAGGAGGCTGACTTGGCCTGCTCCTCCTCCTCAGATTCTTCAGAAACCTCTGGAATTGGGCTGGGTTTGCCTGGTATGTAAGCTATGAGCGAGTCTGGTGTCTTAGACGTAAATTCATAACTCACTTCCTCTGAACTGGGTGTTTCTGGGGTTAGAGGGCTTTTCCCAGAGCTGTCTAGAAAGGATACTTGCTCTAGAGTATCATCTTCTGGACTACCTTGGGGAGAAGGAGGTTGCTTCTGCTGTCTAGTTGTATAAAAGGTCCCTCTGGTCTCTTGTACTGTCTTACATTCCTGACTTATGATCTTTTTTACACTTCCTTGTTGTATCTCCTTTTCATATTGCTTCCCCACCTGTACAAAACTGACATAAACAGGTAAAGTTTTTATCTCTTTCCCTCCCTCTGTCTGGGCTAGTGGTGCAACTTTTTCCAATCCATCAATGGGGCTGTGGTCGAATACATCACTAGAGGGAGATTCCTTTCCTGGGCTAAAGTCTAAAGAGTCAGGAGATTTGGTGGGTGAGATTTCAGTTTCATCATGAGGCGGGCATAAGCCTATGTAACTCTGATGTTTGGAAACTTTGCTGATCTCTGAACAGGTAACTTTTTCATCTTCTATCGAATTAAAGTGCTGTGTCTCAACTGTCTCTTTACTCATACTTGATTGGGGTAACTTTTGTGATAGTTCATGTTTTGGAAATGTTGGCTGCTCACAAAAACCATCGGGAATGTTAGAAGACAGCATCCTCCTTTCATCCGTGACCCGGACTGGGATGTGTGACACCGTGGAGCTCTCGCTTCTTCTGGAAGGCTGATCAGGAGGGCCACCTGGACGTTCCCCTTCTTTAACAACATATTCCCTATATAAGACTTTTTTAGAGGGAGATTTTACAGTCATTTCCTTAATTTCTGAGAGAGAGCCATTTGTTAACAATTTGTGTTCTCTCTCAGTCACAGACACAAATTCATTCCTTTGATCAACAATCTTACTCTCAGGGTGACCATTGTGATGCTCTTTTACATCATGAACAAGCACATGCGAAAGTTTTTCTTTCTGCGATTTATTGTTAGTGGCTCCAGAACTTTCCCACGTTCTAAAGACCTTTTTGTCCCATGGTCCCTTAGTTGCTAAATCTGAGGTTACATGACATGCCAAGTCTTTAGCCTGTTGCTCAGAAAAATAGTCTGGCATCGCTTTACTTGACATTTCAGTTCTCTCTCTTTTCACATCATCACAGCCGGAATCATTTACAACCACCTCGCTGCTTTGGCCATGCTCATCTTTCGCTTTTAATACTGTAATATCTCTTTGCACAGATACACTTTCATCTGCGAGGTCTACATCCTTCTGATGTTTTTCTCTCGCAAACACTTGGTAGACAGGTAGCTTGCTCTCCTGGATCTTTTTAACTGGAATTCTGGATTGGCCGTCCGGCTTTTTGTCTTCTTGAGACATGTCCTTACTTCTCCCCTGTGCGCCTTGTTCAAATTTTAATCTAATGGAACTGAGTTTAGACTGCTTGAGCTGAAACCCAGACTGCGGCCCTTCTGGGGCTTGGCTCTGCGAGGTGCTTCCTTTGGCTTCCTCTGTGGCCTTGCCGTCCTCCTTGTGTTGGGAAAGAACCCTCTTCTCTGGGCTGCTGGGCAGACTGGATGCTTTCCTGTCCTCGGCTTTGTGAAAGCCTTGTCCGTCACGACTGTGCTGCCTTGCCTTAACCCACTCGTCATTGGATGCCAACAGTTCCGTCAGCAATACCTTCTCGGGGCTGCTACTGGTAGAGCTTTGCGAAGAGTACTCTTTGCCATTTCTAGGGTGTGGCTTTTTCTCTGGGGACTGCAGTTCATCGTTTAACTTTTCCGTTTTGTCACGAAAAAACTGTGACACTTCAGTCAGTTTTTCTTCGGCTTCCTTCACAGTCCTGTCCACCCTATCTTCATATATCAACTTCTCTCTACCTCTCTCTAATCTGTCCTCAGTAAAGCGCATCCACATGGCATGTTTTGGACTACTAACATCGCCAGAGTAGTGCAACACTGTCACTTTATCAAAATGCTCATCTTTAGACACTTTACCTACACCATTTTCAGACACATCTTTATAGATTTTGGAGAGGATTTCTTTTTTAGGGGCAGTGACTACTTTTTCTCTGGACCGCTTATCAGACCCCTGTAACTCTGAGCTAGGGGGTCCTGCATGGTCTGTAACCGATTCCTCTGTATCAGAATGAGACACATCTAGCTTTTCTGACAGAAGCATTTTCTCAGCAAACCTGTAAGACTCCCCTCTTAGTTCTGACAACTCATCGTCATGGTATTCTATTGAGTGTTGACTCAAAAGCTTCAATGTTTTATAAGAGTCATCAGATATGAGTTGAGCAGAACTAGGGCGACTATCTTCTTCTTGGGACACAGGAGTATTTACTCTGGAAGACTCCAGATAAGAAGGCAGTGACTCTTCAGCAGTAAGCTCTTCTTCTTCTTGCTGACCCTGTTCCTCTGAACAAGGAAAAGCATCGTGTTTTTCTGGCAGAAAATCTTTTAGGTTAATATCTCCCCGGGATAAGTCTTTCTGATATACATACATTTCCTTCTCTGGATGCTTTTTGGTTTCTCTAATAATGACTTCAGTGGGCTCAGCTTGGTTACCTTTTTCGATGTGGACTTCTATTATACGCTCCAGTTTGGGTTTCATTTGGTTGTCCTTCTCTGCATGCTGGGCTGACGTTTCAGCAGCAGACTTGTGAGCATCTGGAGACACTGCCGACTTATGTTCAAACAGACCTGCCAGTTCTTTGGAGGGGTCCCGCCCGGACTGAAAGGCTTTCATGATGTCGTGGACTGACATGGTTTCTTCAATTCTTTCAGAGGCCCCTTCACTGCCTGGTGGAGAGTGATAAACCATTCTGGTGGTCGTGGTTATGTGAGTCTCTTCTTTGACACGCATGCCTTTGCTCAGAACGCGACTGTGGTCATCTTCTTCACTACTGGCTTTCATTTGAAACGCTTTAACTTTTTCTTTAATACTAGAAGTGGTGGGCGTTGGCTCCAATTCCATAAACGTAGGTGAGGGTTTGGGGGACACGGGCTCCTCCGGTTGGGACTGGGGAGCATCTCCTGCCGAGGGCTCATAGCTCCTGATAACATGAACCACTTCAGTTCTTGTCTCTGTAATGACAGGAGGGATGGGAACTTCATGAAAAAGTGGTTTAGGACCTGTGCTTTCAGCGCTCTGTGGGGCCGAAGGGGTCTTTTCACTTCTTGTTTCAAAGCCACTATCAGACAGGGGACTTTTATCTTGGTCATGTTGAGAAAAGTCATCTGGAGATTCTAAAATAGTATCTGTTCCAAAAAAGGAATCGGCCATTTTACATAATTCCTTCTCAGAAGTGGACGGCCTCATGGAGGCTGGGGGCATTTTGAGTTTGTGTTCCTGCAAAGCAATGGCTGGTTTTAGAATTCTTTTCTGTCTCTCTTCACCATCCTTCTTTGCATCCTCAAACTTGTACTTTAAGTTTGTCAGTGAACCACTCCCAATATCATTTGTTAGGTAATCGATAACTTTGGTCAAGTTATAATCCTTTTCCGAGGCGGCCTTTGCTTTCACTTGCACTCTCTCTGGCAGGGACGGAGGATGGCTCGCCGCAGCCTGTTGTCTGGCTTCTCGAATTTCTTCTGAACTGAATTCTATCCAGTCGTCTTCAGGAGAGTGTCCCTTGTCACTCTTTGGTGATTTGGGTGGTCCTTTGTTATCTGCACACACATCTTTTTTAAGGATTTCACTAACTTTCACTAAGTCTTCCTTCACTTTCTCAACAATTTTGAAAGGTTCTTCATCGTCAATTCTCCCTTCTTTGGGGACTTCAGGTTGGAATGGCTTCTCCTCAGACACATCTGTTTGCAGTATTGCAGTCATCCTCATCAGGTCTTCTTTCATTTCAGCCACATCTTTTAATATCTCCTGACTGGAAGATAAAGAAGAGGGTGTAGACAACTTAAGGGCAGAGGGTGCGAGGAACAAGGATGACTTAACTGGAGATGAAGTTCGATTGAAATGGGGCTGAGCACGTGTCTCCGTAGTCAATGTTTTAATGGGGGACAGCAAGGCTGCTGCTGATTTTGTAAGTGAATTAGAGTCTGGAAGTTTCTTTAATGCTGGTTCTGGCAAAACATTGACAACAGAGTATACTGGCACTGTTATTATTGATGAAGTTACAGATGAGGTAGTTGCAGATATTGACGACCCAAGGGATGTATAGAGTGCACTTGCGGAAGGAGTTCTTAGAGACTGAAAAGCTGATGGTGCTGGAGAAGAAACATATGACCTGAGTGGGGAAAATGGCATTGCTGTCGTGGTAGAAAACACTTTCTCAACTGTGTCAGTGGCTGCACCGACCACAGAGCTCACAGAGTTTGTAGCTGTAGAAATTTTTTCCTGTAACGTGGCAGTGGCTTTGCATCCATTAATTAAAGTTGAAGAAGATGGATATTTCAGAGGAGAAATAGATCCGTTGACTAACGGGACCTCTGCATGTCCAGGCATCTGTTTCACAGGTGATGAGAGAGAAGAGGCCATTGTAACTTTAGCCGACGAGATGACATCAACAGCTGATTTAGCTGGAGACATCACTGACTTTAAAGGCGAAGATATTAGTGGTGTTGCTGATGTAATAATTGACTTAAATGGCAAACTTGAGGAATACATATTAATGTTTGATTTGGGGGATGCAGGGGGTGTCATAGTAATTGACGACCTCTCCAAAAGAGACCCTGCTGTAGTCACTGGAGAGGTTCGAGAGGAAAACGTGGAATTGGACGCCAGCCCTTTTAAAGGCGAGGCCTCCGTGACTGTGGGAGCTCTAACCAGGGTACCAGAGGAAACTTGGATATTGTATGGAGATTGTGACACCACTGTTTTTATTGGCGAAGAAATTGTCCGAAAGGATCTAATTGGAGATGCCACATCACTAATGGATTTAACTGAAGATGTAGTTGACGCGCCTAAAGTGGATTTGATTGGAGAAGGAGTCGAAACAGACCATATTGATTTTAACGGAGAAGCTGATGGCGTATTAGAGGAAGAACTTGATAAGGAAGTGAAGCCTGACTTGGCTGGCCCGGGCACTGTAATCGGAGCTGTTGTCCAGGACTGGTATGGTCTTGTAGAAAAGAATGGCTTGTATGAGTAAGTGGTGGGAAGGGATCTTGTTGCTCCTGCACTCCGTTCAACTGTTTCTTAAATTTTAAAATGAAAAATCAAACACAAAAATCAACAAAAATGGTTGAGAAACAGAGAGACCAGAGAAAAAAATTGGTCAGTAAACTTTGAAATATTACAAAAGCAAGTACAATTGTTTGCATGAATTAGAATGGAAGAGGCAAAAGGAACAATTAAGTGGAAAAAAAATCCACAGACATAACTAATCCAAAGATGAAAACAAAAAACTAAATAAAACACAGAGCAATGTGAAATGAAAGACAGAAAAAGCACAATCGCAACCAAATAGGGCAACGATGAAAAACAGAAGACATGAGGAAGGAATTCATGATGAGAAAAATAACCACAATGGAAAACTGTTCCCTTACTTCCTATTGACTTTCTTATGTGCTGGTGTTGGAATATCAGCAGCCATTCCATTTTGCCTGTATAGGTACATGTTTGTTCCGTGTAACCACAGAGTTCTCATTTTAGTAATTTCTAATGTTCCCTTCTTGAACATTTTTGGTGATACTGATTGCACCTACTGAGAACCATAACAATATGTGCAAACTAGATGTTAAATATCTAAAACTTTTTTATAAAACCACTCAAGCCTATTTCATGCAGAATCCAAAGTAACTTTTAAGTGACAGGCAACTGATGTGCAAACTGTGAAGCCACTGGATTTTAAATCTGTATCTTCCATGCACAATTCGGTTATGCTTCACACCCATAAAAAGCCAATAAGAGCAAGAAATTTTCTGAGTCAGACTTTTAAAAGAAAAAACAAAGAAAAGGAATGTTTGCATTTGTCTTTTCCATGCAGTATATTCCTTTTGATGAGGAAAAAAGAAGGTGTAATATGAAATGACTTTAAAATGCATGTGTACACACACACAAAAGGGAAAAAAAACCAGAAAATATGGTTCATGGTTACCATAAGCAAGCAAAGCAACTGAAAACATTTTATCATGCGCAATATATCATGGCAAACAAGCCAATGAAGTAATACAATTTTTAGGCCATATTATGCACAATATATATAGATATATAAACTTTAAAAATACTTTCAAAAGAGCATTTAGAAAGAAGAGTACACTTTTTCCATGAGATGTGAAGTCTTGGTACCTTTTGAGACTTTAGGAAAATATTTAATACTGCATATTAAAAACACATCAGTAACTTCATATATCCATATCTACAACTGTCTTCATTAGGGTCAAAGTAGATTATTTAGAGGTGATATTTTTTCATAATCTATTATACTTTAAATTCTCAAAAGGTATCATGGGGAAAATATAAAAAGCATAGTTATAATTTAATATCCATATTTAAGTATCTACAGTGGCATACAGTATATATCTGTCTGTATATATATGAGAGTGTGTGTGTGTGTATATATATATATATATATATTTTATTTATTTATCAGTGGCAAAGGCACTGATTCTGGTGTCTTCCCAGAATATTCTTAGGACTCATGGATAGCCCACACACTGGAGTAGCCATGAGGTAGACCTGTCTCTGAGAAAGAAGGCTTTCATATCTGCTTTTTTTCTGGCAATGGGACAAGAAACACACAAATGAGGTAACACACTCGCTGGGGGAGAGCAAATACACACTTGTCCTCTCTACTTCTACAACTCTAGCAGACAGACTGAGCTGGTCACAGAAAACTGCATTGCCTGACAAGAGCTAAAGTTCTATGTCAAAGATGAGTAGAGTACAGTCTTGCTGCCAGAAAGCACTGGTTCAGAATAAGACTGCAATGCAAAGAGGAAATGAGAAGATGCTTCATGTTTTATGCTCCTCTTCATGCTGTGCTCGTGCATTGCTACAATCCAGTCCTTGGATCAACAGGGTGAAGATTTTCATTCCTAGTGTACATTTAAATTCAAACATTCAGAACATATCCTTTTCTAGGTTTATATAGTATTCTAAAGAAAAGTGGAATAACTAAGGAAAAACTCACCCATTCATTACCCCTCCTCGCCAAACATCTCAATGTTATATTGTTTAACTCTTTTGGAAACACCACACTGCAAACAGAAGGTTTGGGGATTCCTTCAATTCAGTAATTTGGGCTCGATCCGATGTCTCAATATTTTTTAGAACTACCAGAAATTGAAAAGCATCTCATTTACCACTAACTGCTGGCTCTATCAAGCAAAGAAATCTTCTGAACATCTGTGACTTTTAACTTTGCATGAAGTAGCCAACTTGCTGATTACTTACACATTTTATGCCTTAATGACACAAGTTTTTGAAATCCTTTATAACAAAGGGAATGTCTGAATAGAAGGCACTGATTTATACCAGATTATTTTTTGAGGAGTGGGGGTTTGGAAAGGGTAGGTGGTGGCAGGAAAGCTTCATTTACTTGGAATTGTAAAACTAATTCAATTGTAAAACTAATTGTAAAACTAATCTACTAATTGTGAAACTAAAGGGTCTGGCACATTCTTACAGTCCCTGCGTATTAATCCTTTCCATTTCTCCATTCACCACCATCATGCTTCCTTTCATAAAACAGATACTAGGATCCTTTTCTTTCTATCAAAAGTCAAGGAAGAGAAGCTACATATGCCTTGACTGAGCTAATAAAAAAAATAGCAACTATGTTCAGTTGACTTAGCACACACCTGACTTTACAATTCAGACAGTCCCCCCACAAAATACCTTAGAATCTAGAATCAGATGGGAGCTTGTATGCCCAAAAGTGCAGCTGACCTAAAGTTGTTTCAAAAAGCCTCCCCCCCAACTGATGGATGTTGTCTGGAGTCCCATCCAGTTATGCAGTAAGGGCCTTAGCGCTCTGACAAAATTGTATCCCAAGCAAGAATTCAACTGAGCAGACTTAGTTGTATTGAAACACCATCTAGTTGGACACTCCCACACTTCTTCTGCTTTATAACATAAAGGAAGTGAACTGACGTTTTGGAAGAATTGAAACAATTTATGCTAAAGAAAAAAATCTGAGATCTAGAAGAATATCTCGAGTGTGACAGGGTTTCTCTGTTAGGCTCCTCGTTTTGTGTCTGAAGATAAAAGCTTCCCTAGTGGCCAGGGAGCTAGATCTAGAGGATTATGCTAGGACCTTCTGAGCAGGGCAGTGGAGTAGGTTCTGCCTCCACATTTCCTATGCTATGTTGACCCACAGAAATGTGAATTCAGGAACAGTGGGCAAAGCCAAAGTTGTGGCTTTTACTGGTAAATGTCCAATTCTCCCTGAACTCAAGTTACTGTGAAAAATGGGAAACAGCTAGAGACAATTCATTAATTTTATAATTTTTTTTGCATAAATCTTCTCCTGATAGATATAGTGGCACCACTCTACATCGATTAAACCCAGTGCAGCTCTCAGTACTCCTAGTTCCTAGTGGTGGAGAAGGTTATTTTGAGGGCTGTAGTGATCATCAGAGGTGATGACCATAAAGATGAAAGGAGGAGAGGGAAGAGGGTAAGGGAAGCAGAGAGAAAGAGAATGAATGAATAAATATAATTGAATGAATCTATTCCTTAATACTTGTATGTCAGTTAGCAATGAACCAAAGCAATCATGGCAGAAAGAAAGGGTTTAATTGGTCTAGTGAGGATTAGCCACAGAACTGATATTAACAAAGAATGGGTGGAGTGGGCAGAAGGAGGCAGAAAGGTAAGGGGGAAATAAGAAGTCAGTAAACGAGTACTATCTCAAGAAGGCAGGAAAATACAATTCTTGCAATGTGGGAAGGAAAGAGTCAGGACTAAGAAATAATGACCTGCCTATATTAAGAAAAAGGAGATGACAACAAAAATAATTTATACTCTTTCTATTACTCCAGAGATGGTAAATATTCTCTCTTCTGAGCACATACAGCATTATCTCTTAGCACAACCAATAATCCAAGTGAAACTAAGGTTTTAAAAGACAAGTAACAGATGTTTCTATCTTAGAAAATAGCTAATGCCTTTATAAAATAACTGTTTTGAATTTATGATTTAGGGATGTTTGAATCCCCTATCTTCAACTCTGTACTATGTAATATTTAGATTTCATGGTAGTTTTCCTGTAGGCAATTTTTCTTTTGCAATTGGGTTTTCAATTGATCCCCAAATTCAGTTTGTATAGAAAAAATGTCTCTTCTTATAAAATTCCACATAGATTAGTAAATGTGTTAGAAAACTCACTCATTCCAGGTTCAGTCAAGTAGCTGTAGCGCTTACGTAAAGCTAAAGATGCAAAGCTTTGCCGTCTATCTGCTTTCTCGGTCTGAAAAAGAAGAAATAGGGAGACTACATCCAACTTTCTGGTGACATTTTTGTAGTTTTGAAACATTTTGTAGGCATGTTGATATCTTGTTTATCCTTATTTTTCTTCTTAGATATTTTCCTCTTGAAAATGTTAATTTCTTACCGTGATTCTACCCCACCCCAATTGTCTCAATCCAAAAACCATCATTCAGCAAATATTAGAGCACCAACACAGCAGACTACAGGAAACTACAAATAAGAGACGAGCATTACAGAGACTTCTGATGCTGAACAGTAAATATTTCCAAATTCAATACTATTGAAAGCACATATATCACAATGTACACTCACTTTCCTGTGAGTACATTAAAGAAAAAAGGCACACACAAGTTTATTATTCCAGTTTTGCTGTTTCTGTATGTTAATAGGCATAAAGTGCAGATGAGGAGCTTGAAAACAGGTTAATGATTTCATCAGATACAATGTACTGAGGCTTAAGATTGATGATTCCTAGTATTGCTGAGATACGAGTTTTAAAAATCCAATTATCATATAACCTGGACAAATATTAAGCAATAACTTATAAGGAAAAAATCACTCAAATTTATTTTATTGAATAACTATACCTTTAAAAATGGCCAAGACACTTTTCTATAAATAGAATATCAAATATTTATAAGTAGCCATTGAACATTTTATTTTATATTACATAAAATATATGTTGATTTGTATAGTAAAATTTTATGTTATCCATGATCTTGATTTAAAAGTTAGAACACAGTGAAAACTAGGTAAAAATACACTCAAATGTATATTTACACATGCCAATTTATCATATTTAAAATTTTTAAAGCTCTTTAGTTCTGTAATTTTGTTGATTGCACTGAAGTAGTCTTATGAATATGTGGAGAAGAAGTGAACCATGCTTTAGGAAAATTGCCCTTTTGCCTGACTTAAGCTAAGATCTACAAACATATAGTTAATACGTTTCCCACACTTCAGCCCTCTGTAACTTCTTTTATACAGATTCAATTTCTATTCTAGCTCTGATAGAGTAAAAGCAGAAGTGTTCATATTACCTCATCATCTTGATCTGACTCTGTCTCCTTTTGGTTCCAAGATGCATTGCAGAGACAAGGAATATTATAATGGACAGCAGGGAAAAGAATATCAGGATATGAAAAGGACTGAGTAGGGGGCACAAAAGGCAAGCTGATTTAGAAAGCAAAGCAAATCAAAGAAGCCAACAAAAAAATACCAAGAACTATACATCCACGGCAAATCAAATATGTGACATAATTTGAAAGCATAAAAATCTATGAACTACCAGCAGAAGCAGAAGCACTACACAGAGGACTCCACGATACAAACCATAAGAATTTGACACCACAGTAACAAGACTTAGTCAATCTACACAAAGAGACTAATAAAACTTGAGTTTTTAAGCTTGAATCACTTTACAAAGCATTCCTTAATTGCATACCAAAAGCCCTTTCTTCACAACTAGGGAAAGAAAGTTAAGATAAACCAATATTAAAAGATACCTTTTTATGTGCTGGCAGAGTGATATTTAAGTTGCAAACAGCTGTTTGAGGCAGTCCTTTTGTTGTCTTTGGTTCTTTCAGAAAAGACAGACGACCACAGGGCTCTTGGCTGGTGTCTCTAATCTATAAGAATTTAAGCAGTTGACAGTTATAGAAAAAGACTTTTCTGAGAACTTCTGAATACTGAGCATATTTGGTTTTTTTTTTTAAGATTTATTTTATACAAGATCCGGGGTACAGGCTGGAAGCGTGGGAAGGTGAGAGGATTCACCAAAGACAGAGCAGGGAGTAGAACAGGCAGACAACAGAAATACACTGCTGAGGGGAGCAGAGGGTGTGACAGGAGAGGTCTGTTATGCCATGTGGGTAACTCCGCAGCCGGCGGGGATCGAACCGGCACTGCAGAGGCTGCGGACAGCTTCACAGCGTGGCGCTCAACCCGCTGCGCCACCGGGAAGGCCCACTGAGCATATTTGTTTTATGGAGCTCTTTGAGAAGCAGGAAAAGTTGATGATAACAATTACATGACAGCCAAGGTGGTCACATTTAAACTCGGTAAGATTGAGAATGCCCGATTCCTAGTCTAGCACAGGGCTGTCGCATCTGCTTGTCTTATCCTGACAATCCGTTGTGTAGCTTGGGTTATAGGCATGTTCTTCCTGCCCAATAACTTCTTTTTCTCAAGGATTCAGTTTTAGCAAGAACAATGGTAAATAATAACAGTAACAAAATAATTGTTTATGTCTTTCTGTTCTCTGAGGAAGAAGATGATCTCTTCAGAATATCAGAAATGGAGATGAAACCTGAATTCTGAATCTGATCTATTGTACTGATTTACAAATATTTTTAAAAGATATTTTTATTATTTATACATAGAAGAACTGGGGTATAGGCCAGAGGTATGGGGGGTGAGAGTATTCACCAGAGTCAGAGTGGGGAGCAGAACAGGTGGATTTACTGAAATACACTGCTGGGGGGAGTAGCAGGAGAGACAGGAGAGGTCTGCTGTGCCATGTGGGTTAGCTCCCTGGCAGATTGAACTCATGCTGCAGTGGCTGGGGATAGCTTGATAGCACTGGTACTTTAACTGGGGGGAGGGCCCTGATTTACAGCAGGAATTAACCAGATAGGATGCATTTTATTATTCTGACTGGAAAGTATACTTGGGTAAAACTAGAACAAAATCTGATCCTGTTTGTATGAATTCAAGTTTGGTGGGATATTACAATCGATATGTCAGTAGAACCATTTCATTTATTTATGAAATTTTTTTTTCTTTAATTCACAGTTTCTGTTAAAGATGATTTACCTTGATGGAAAATGGCAGTCTATTTTCTTTGAAAGCATAAAAATTAAAAACAAGTTGCTGTCCTCCTTTGGTAAGCGGAGCCAGATTTCCATAACAATCAACATAAATAGGTTTTCCTTCCAGAACCTTTTAGAGTAAAAGAAATGTATAATTTAATGTTAATTTGAGTTGAAAGGACTCTGAGATTTTAAGCTGCATTAACACTAAATGACTGATAGGTTTCTATGTCACATAGGTCTCTTTTATAAGAAAATTACATCTATGGAGACTTTGCCGCAAAAAGAACTTTATTAGCTCACAATTCAAGAGTTGTAATTGGAATCCATTATCATGGACAAGTTTGGAAAAAGAATATATATATATACTTACTTCTATTTCAGCAAGTTTAAACACATTTGAAAAAGTGCCTAACATTGTGTTCATATACTTTGAAAAAAAATTTTTGGACTCTTAGATACTTATCCCATGACTGGATTTGAAAAAGAAAATCATGGTAATGTGTGTGGACAGAGACCAAAATAAAGTAACACACGTAAGTCACGGCAAAATGGAGACCAGGACTTAGCTGTCGCCATGACTTAGATTCGTTAGTCCTACATCCTAACAAATGAAGACAACCTCAAACAACATACAAATCTCTAGTCATTTATAACAATTTGAAAATTATCAAATTTTTTAAACAAAAACTAAAATCAGTAATGTCCTTCTATTTATAGTGAGTACATTTATGGCCTCCCAAGTAAAACCTCATTCTGGGGGATATAATTAAATGAACTTGTTGTAAACAGGTACCTCAATATCTTTGCTTCTAGCAACCTCCTCAAAATTCTCTTGCTGCTCTAAAGTTTTGTCCACTTTGTCATCTGTCATGCAGAAACATCGCAGGGAGGATTCTACAGGGTCATTCATTTTGGCAAAAACCACAAACTTGGCCATGTATGGAACACATATTAATTCTCTGTAAAGTTGTGTGGCTAACCCCACAGTTTCTAAAACTTGATGGCAGTCTGCAAGCCAAAATCTGAGAAAAATAAAAAACAGAAGTATGAAAACGAGGTGATCTGAAGCCAAAAATCACAAGATAACAGTATTTATATATAAGCCAAAACACTAACTTGTTAATTTAAACAGCAAAGATGTTTCCTCTGTTTATCAAACACAGAAACCCCACATTTATTCTGTTATAATTTTGCTAAGGGTTTTTTTCTCTTTTCCATAAAATTCCTGTTCTCCTCCTTTCTACTCCCAACTAAAGAGTTTAGATCTATGCACTATTGGAAAGAGCAAGAATTTTATGGGTGATAACGGGACAAAAAGGAAAATCCTATCAGTTTTTATGAAATGATAAGAATTTCTACTGGCAGAATCAAGTCTTGTACCCATAGCTTCCTGTGAGGTGAATAAAACAACCTATCCTACCGAATTTTAAGTTTCTGAGTCAGATCCAACTTCACCATTAAAATAAAAAAATAACCATTATACTGGTATTGAGCACAATTTTTACTCTGCAAGAGATAATAAAATGAATTCTTCAGTGCTTTTTCGAATCCTTTATTTCCATACCTGGCCGAAACATTGGTTGTAAAAGAGACACAATCCTTTATAAATGTCAAAGGAGTTGTTCCTGTGATGTCTTCCCACTGAGCAGGCGAGGTGCCCCCTGAGGAAATAGTAGCAGAGACTTCATCACACATGGAAGATGCTCCTTGTCAAATTTTCATCCCCATCCTGTCCTTCCTGTGAAGCCAGTGACTTGCAAGACTTCACCAATTCAGTGAACTATGTGTATAGAAGGTAGTTTTCCTCTCCAGACTTTTACCTTATTGTGATTTCCTCGTAAGATTATGTTTTTTCTAAAATTACTCTTCAGTTTATTTGGGTAGGAAGGAATGAGTTAAATTGGTGCAAAAACAATTTATAATTCTGTTTTTTTAAGTGCAGAGATTTCAAATAAACCAATATAATTCATTTATTTTTTAAAAAGGCAAGCTCTGTCAAAAAAGTTAAGAGGCAGTTTATTTTTGTACTAAAACCATTGAATTTTCTGGGAAAAAGGAGGAATCAATAATTAAAATTACTCTTTAAAAATCCAAAGATAAAACCAACCTATTTTAATCTTTGACTTTCAATAAAAATCAGATTAGGTCAATGAAATGATAGTGTGAGTTCTGGATGCCAGGCACTATCAAAAAATGTGTTCTCCTAAGTCCTGCAGACTTAGTCTATTGGATTACACTCAGGAATAGAGAAGGTGGGAAGAACCATATTCTCCACTCTTCCCTGCTCCTGGTGCTGGGGTGGGATGGGGAGGGGGAAGCTCTGTTTTCTGAAAAGTCCATCTGTTTCCTTTCATCTAAAGGGTATTGCTTGGTCCATCAATTCTAAGACACCAAAAGACTACTGGATATTCCAGTAAACTCCATAGCACCTCAATAAACATAAAAGCACGCTCTTACTAAAGTTAATAGGAAAAATTATATTGCTAAATTTTAAATGAATCATGATAAGAGCATCTTAAAGAAATGGTATCAGGGATAATGGAGATGAGGTGACAGGCAATTAAATGTTTTATTTCCTTTTTGTTCTAGTTCTAATATTGGCATGATGGTTTCAAAGGTTTTGTATTTTTGTATAGAATCATTACAATGCATCAAGAGAGTATAACAACTCAGCCAAACCTGTAATGCTACAGAGGAGGCGCAGGTTAGGTGTGGTGTCCCCCTTGTATCCATTGGATACCCCTTCTCCTGAGGGTGGGGGTACAGGAATGGTCATTGTGATGGGTTTATGGAATTTTCTTCTTCTTGGTTCCACCGTGACAATTGGGCTAAATGTTGCTTTGTTTCCAAGGATCTTTTTCACAATTTCATCTGGAACAGGCTGTGCCTAAGACAGAGAAGAGAACTTCAATGAAAATGGACATTTTTTTGCCCTCATAAGACAGTTGATTTTTTTGAGCAAGAAAGGTAAAGAAAAAGAACCCCACAAAAAGATCACCATAAAGAAAACTTCTTTCTTCATCCTTTCTTACTATTTCAGATAGACATAAAAATGTGGACTCCCAGCCCCTCTGTTCTCAAGGATATTATCTTTGTGCCCAGAATTCCTGCTTGTCAGCTAGGTATAGGGTTATACAGGGGGCTTCTCATCAAGGGCAAAAGTCCTGGTATGAGGAACATACTGGTAAACCAGAATTTGCTAACAGCAGGCAGATATTAGACTAGAGATAATATACTTAGACTGGCAGGAATAATGGAGCCCCCCAGGCAGTAGTCCCTGGTCACTCCACCCTAGTGTATATCTCTAGTCACACACCCATACATGTACATTTCTTATGTACATGCCCCACTTTTGTACTCAATGTTAATAAATACGAGACTGTCTTTGGATCGGGGCTGCCCCTCTAGGCTTCTCATTGCTCCTCACAGACTTTGAGTAATCATTCCCTCATCCCATGCTACTTCTGACACTGCCTCCTGCAAGGCTACATAAAAACACAACCTAACAATGTAGCAGGAACTTGTCAGCCAGAGTATTTTCCCCACCGAATATGGTCTACATGATTATTCGCGAGAGGGGATCAAATCTCACAGCAGAGAAGCTGCTTAGTCTACACCTAAATAAAGGACAGCAAATGTTGACTTCAATATATTTTAAACCAATGCAGGCCATTTGGCCAAACATCACAAAAGCAATATGTACTATGTAATAGCTGAGGCTTTCAGAGTCATGTAACAAAAAAGGCATTCAAGACTGCAACGGATTTTGAGTCTAGTCTACCAAGCCAAACCTCTTTTTGGTTTCTTCCCTATACAGTAAAATATTCAATATGGGAGACAGTGAGAGACAGTTTCTACCACTGAAATGTAAGGTGATGTCTTTACATCACCTTAGGTGTTTCCGGAAGGCATTCCTAGGACTGACTGACAGAAAGATGTATCCATCACAGGGCATGAGAGTCAGCCCACAAAAGAAGAACTTTCATTGAAACTACTTTTTACACATTAATGAACACCACAAATTAAGGGTTTTTTTTTAAGGTTATTTTCCTTATTCAATAAGAAAACAAAGAACTAGTTAAGGTCTAACTGAAATTAATAAATATAAGAAAGGACATTCTTGCCAAGATTCTCAGTCAGGTTTCCAAACTAAAATGAGCTCCAATTGGTTTGGTTAAAACCTGGCATTTATGATTTACTTAAATCAATCTCATATTTGAAAACTTACAAGTTTCATTATTACTTTTGCCTATGATGTGGCATATTAGAAACCAAATCAAGTGTGGTTTAGTTCTTTAATGGTATATTCTTTGGTGTTTTTGTTGGCCTGTAAGGTGAATGACATACAATTAAAAAAAAAGTTATCCTTCATTAGAAACCGAGTAATACTTTTAAATGAAAACCCTAATAATAATAAGCCAGTGAGCTAACTTTCCATTTACTGCTTTTCATTTGAGATGGATGAATTTCCAAAAGGCCTAATGCTGTGATTAGCAATATCATTAGGATGAATGCTGAAAATCATTCAAAGCAGAACTTGCTCCTGTGCTCTCTACATAGAAGGAAAGCAACTTTTTGTCCACATTACCTGCAAGCCTACTCGAATTCTTTTGGTTAAAGCACCCTCTGGGAAAGAAGCTTGGACAAGGGGCACAGTGGTGCTGCTCAGAATTCCACCTTCAGGACCTATCTGGTTGCTTTCCTGCTTAATCCGTGAAACCACTGCAAAGTACTGGGGGAAATCTTTTGTGATGATCCTGCAGATCCGCTTCTTCCCTAATTCCTCTGGGCTGTCAAGTTCTGAAAAGACAAAAGAATGAAAAGCCATGAGAAATAGCCTCTTGATTCTATGCTGTGAAACAAGGTGTAATTTTGATGGTTATAATTATTTTTATTCAGTAGTCCAGGCAGTTTTTACTATAAAAATGATAGTGACTTAAACTAGTATTTAGCTTTGTAAAAATATTATAAAGCTATTTTTATCTTTAAAAACAGGCATTTTACTACCAATGGACACATTATTCTTCAAGAAAGGGGATATTCTGTGATTATTTCCAATAATACGCTCTCAAGCAGCTGGAAAAAAAGTAGGGCCTCACAGGAAGTGAATAAAGACTTACATACATTTGACCTCTTCTAGAACTGGTAGGCTAATTTAATTGAATTCTGGTAGGTTAATTTAATTGAAATGATTTTTTATAATATATTTGATATATTTGATATATTCAACATTTGATATATTCAAATCAAAGGGATATATTTAAACTTCAAGGCAGTGGAAAAATATGATTTATTTAGAAGATGATGTTGACAGAATCCTGCTGGATAAGAGACTTAACTACTTAAAATGTTAAAATTTTACCAAAGGAAAATCAAGAGAGTATGTTTTACCATAGTTAGGAAGGTACTGATGAACCCATGTAAAGTGTACAAGGTGAGGGAAGAAACAAGGGCAGAGCAACATAAACTGGAAACCCAAAAGCCTAAAATGCATTTTGAACTCTATAAAAATGAATTCTTTTCTGTGACAATATGGTAACCTTGAAAACAAAACAAACTGGAGAAGATAGTTGTCATACATGACAAACGATTAAAATGCTCAATGCCACTGGCAGCAACAAGGTAAGACAATACAGTACGTCAATAGAAAATGTCTTACTGTTATAGAGAGGCAATTCACAGAAGTTGAAAAATGGTCAATAAACATATATTCAAGTGTTCAAACTTGATAATTTCCTATACTCATCTTTGGTGAGATTAAAGACCAATAACATCTTGTCCAGAGGAAATTTTGGAAAAACAGATGTTTTCATTCATTGCAGGTGGATGTGAGTGGCAAAAATCTTTTGACAATGTCATTGGGTATCATCTAATCAAAATAAATATGCCTATTATCCTTGGACCCAGCAGTGCCATCTGCTGATGTCTTTCTTACCAGCACACGCAGCACAGCATTCCTTGTAATGACCAGGCTTGAAGGAGTCTGCATTCCCATCAGCAAGGGAGTGGTAAGAGAAATCATGGTTCACCCACATTCTAGACACTGCAGCTAGGAAACGGGATGGGTCACACACATTCAGTTACCAAGTATTTACTGAGGACCCACTGCGTGCAGGCACTGGTCTTATTACTGCAGATACAGTAGAGAGCAAACTATGGTCACTGCTCACAGAAGGATTACCTTCTAATAGGCAGGAACACAATTCACTAAACAAAAATGAAGCAGCCAACAGACTGACCAGGGAGAGCAGGAAGAGAGGAGAGGGTCTTATTAAAAGGGGATGAGCAGGGAAGACCTTTCTGAAGAAGCAACATTAGAGGAGAGATCTGAGGGAGGGAGGAAGCCAGGAAGGTACTGATGAACCCATGTAAAGTGTACAAGGTGAGGGAAGAAACAAGGGCAGAGCAATATGCCCTTTCCTATGCCCAGAACATAGGAAAGATCCTCTTTAGGGGAAAAACGTCATCTGCACATTCAGATATTTTTATGAGAAATTTGTAGAAGAACCAGTCTAGGCTGTTAGCACTGGTTAATTCAGAGGATTGGGGCGGAGAAGGGAGAAGAGACTGGGGACTAAGAGCATCATCTGAGGGTTTATACAACTGGGGTGGGTTTACTTACTACGAAATGAAGAGAAAATCCCAGACTTTGGGGAGGACTGTGGGTTTTATTTTTGTTGCTTACCACTCACATTTGCATCTCTTCATGGTCCTGATACAACACCACACATGTTCTACTGTCACTTAACTACAAACATGTCTGCCTCCTTTACTCTCACAAGATTCATAGGGCTGAGATCATGGCCTATTCCAAACAGAAGTTTCTAGAATGCTAAAATGAGTGATTAGGAAACTGGATCAGTGACATCTCGTGTTACAGCTCAACCACTGCACTTTGAGATGGGGACACCAAACTATCAACTAAGAGAAATAGTGTTCATCCTAATAGATTTCAAAGTGAACTGGAGTTTTGGTCTTTTTTTGATATTCATCTCCTTCCCCTCAATTCTGTTCAGACCAAAATAAGTGAGAAAGGTATATTTTACTTTCTGAAGAAATAAGACGTAAAGAGTTAAAAAAAAAAAAAAAAAAAAAAAAAAGGTTGGTACTGTGAAAGTGGAAGAAATAAAAATTTTGCTCAGGAAAAAATTCTGGGGAAGTTTTTATCTATTCAGATGACTCTGTTATGAAATTACAGTCTTCAAACCAGGCTGTTAAATGCAGTTTAACAGACTATATATCCTGGAAGTGTAAAATTTACCCAGGATCCATCTGGACCCACCAGAGGAACTGAGGCAACACAGAGGGTGGGGGGCAGGAATTGTCGTAACATGCACTTTTTAGCTGTGTGCAGGTGAGTGTAGTGGGTGTATGCACAGACACTTGTGTAAGTTCAGGGTTGAAACAGCCATTATCACCTGTGGAAAGCATAATAGCCACGAATGACAAGACTGACACTGTGTAGAAGCAGCCTGGCCGCACTGATGCTATTACCTTTGGCAAAGCATTAAATCCACTCCAAATATAAAGTGAGCATCCACTCCAGCAGCAGCAGAGAGAGGTAAATAGGCCAGCTCAGATTTCTCACTCCATGCACAAAACTCTTTAAGGACTTACTGTTCTGGGACCCTCAGTATTGTACTTACTCAGTTCTATAGCTTTTAGCCATTCTGCTGTCATCATTAAATGTACATAATTATTGATTTTTAATGTGTTTTCACAGGTATTTTGAAGTAAGTCTCAACCAAAAGACACAGTAATGTGGGAATTTTAGGCCCTAGGGCTCCCTTTATCACTCTATGACTAGAATCACATGCATGTATTTTCTTTTTTGAATTATTTAGTTTCCCAGGCTTCTATATGATGAAAGGAGAAAGGAGATTTGCCTTTAACCAGGCTATATTCTATATATAAATGTAAATGTGAATGTAAATTATTTTAAGCTTTTTTCCTTAGAAAAAAAGTCAATGGAAATAATAAAAACTACCAAAAAAAGACATATTTGTTTATAAAAAGCATCATCTCTTCAGAGTTGCTGCTGAAGGCAAAGCTATTAGATTCTTGGATATTTGCATAAGTAAGAATAAATAATATGGATAGTAGGTAAATATAAAAAGGCAAACAGATGAAGTGAAAACCAGATACTAAAGTTATTATGAATCTTTATGGCTTGAAAACCTATTACAAGACCTAACTGGCTATCAGTAAGACGGAGGTTAAATAAATTAAGACAGTCAAACTCTGGGCTACTGTGCAGTACTAGAAAGAGTGGGACAGAGTATATGTTCTAATATATAAAACTCCAAGGCATATTAAATGAAAATGTCACAAAAAGTATGATCTTCCAGTAACTGATGAATCAATCTTTAAAGACCTATGTGTAAATTCCTATGATTTACATAAAAACTAGGGGAATGAAAACAGAGGAAAATGATAAAACTTATTATAAGGAATGTATGCTTAAATGTTATCATTTAGTAATAAATACCACTAGTATTGAATAATAACAATATACACACACATACTAAATCCAATTATATTTTAACAGATTCAGGTCAGGCACATGTTTTTCTCTTTTTACTTTTAGAGAAAGGAAACTGAAATATAATAATGAAATGACCTCAGCTGAATGTTTGAAGCAGGAAACTAAAGACCAGGTGGTTAGAGAAGGCACAAGAGGGAATGAAGAATGAGCTATTGACCTTCAACTACAGTGAAGTCCTGACTTGTGTCCACCTCACCCAGCATCATGAACCCTGCCCCCAAGGCTTTTGTTCCACTGATAATTTTGACAAATTATTTGTGTATATTAAAAATAAGATTTTATTTTCATAAAATTTGAAGTCTTAATTATTTTACTCTAAATGATGTTTGATATTGAGGCCTGGCATAGTATAACTGCTGAATTAGAATCCACTGTATTATGAGACTCAGACTTTTCATAACAACAGTATAATTCTTTAAATCATGCTCTAAAATATATATAGTAGTAGAGACTGGCTTTTCTTTACTCTTTCAATAGATTTTTTTTTTAAAATATTGTATATGTATGTTCTAGTCTTCCTACTTCCTAGCCCACACTGGTCTATTATGTCCATCTATTTATGAGTCAGAAATTATTCTTGAATGAATATTTACCCAAACTGAATTAAAAACTCAGAGACTATAAACCTCTTTGGCAATTTCTGTGTTGCAAACTAAAAACTATCTCAGAGAGAGAAGATTTCCAGGCAAATAGCAATGAAGTCTGACAATATATAACTGAACGATACCAATGATGTTCTTTCTAGAACTGAATTTAGGTAGGTTTAGATTTTAAAATGATGTACTACTTCAGCCAAAGAAGCAAGAATATACTAGTAAGAATCTTTGCTTTGTTCTCACCATTTACATATGGAGAGAAGCCCAACAGCAAAATCTAAGCATAAATGTGGTATCACATCCATAGCCAAAGAGCCCCTGACTGCTATTACTGCTTGTCAGAAACTGGCAAGACCACAAGCAGCACCAGGGCTACAAGTTAAAAGCACAGAGACCCAGACTTCTCTCAGGGAGATCCTGACTTGGCCAGATAGAGAACCTAAAAATCTGTTTTTCACACTGAATTTAGGTGACTTTATGATTTGATATATTTGGGAAACAAGGTCTTTGTAGGCTCCTACCCTAGATCTGTTCTTAATTCAGAACCCAAATGATTAAAAGCACAACAGGGCCCTATATAAAAACATTTCATATTGCTCAATATGAGAGGAGCTTATGGGGCAACAATAATTACCCATTGCTTTTAAATAGTTTTTGTTTTTTACAAGGATACACTAAGCCATAGCTACAAAATTAAAAGAGAAAAGGCGTTAGTGACAATAGAGTAAACAATTAAACATAAACAGAAGACTTCTTACTTTTCAGGGTGATTTATAATGCCACATACTATAAAAGGATGCCCAAATCTTAAGCAATCGCCCTTATCACAACTCGAGCTATTTCTTTCTCCCCAGCTGTTATTAGTAAAGTTTTTGCTAAAAAGAAGATTAAAGGGAAAAGAAAAATAGGTAGTTCTGCTCTGGAGGAAGGTTAACATTTACACTTACTGAATGTCTACTTGTGGTGGGGGTGAATTACTATTTGACCCACATAGCAGTTTGGCAAAGTAGGTGTCTGCAGTCCAGACAGGTTAAGGGACTTGCCCAAACTGACTTAGCTGTTTTAGAGTTGAGATTAGAATATAGGTCTTGGAAGGGAGCGTGAGGGGGAAGGATGAAGTCACACAAATATGGATTTCAATCACTCAGCACAGTGTCTTTGCAGACTGCCTGGCACATAGGTAGTGGTTGACAAATGCATGAGTATGGGATGGATTTGCAAAAGGCCTGATGCAAAAGATGACATGACTTCTTACTGGCCCATTCTCCAAGTCCATTGATTACAGTGGACTTTCTGTTGTGCTAGAAATGGAAGCTGATAGAAGCTTACTTATATCACTGATAAAGGATAAATTTCTTAAGTACCTTGTAGCTCTTTTTTTTTTTTTTAATAAAAGGTGGGACAGTATTCTCTGAGATTTTACAAAAAAAGCACTAAGGGTGATAAAATGTTTTACAAATATAAATGGTTACAGAGATCATAATATAATAAATGGCAGGATTGAAATCATGTCTCCATTAAATGAGATACTCTTAAAACCTTCAAATGATTGTCCTGATTAGTTTTGCCACACTCTTACATGTACCTGTTGAAATGTCTCCACAATTTAGTCAAATGGGGATGTCATTCTCTTTCCCATATCAAATTTGTTTTCTAAAGTCTGTGACCTGATCAGGATTGAGTATGTAAGTCTATAGAAACTATACAACTTCAAGGTTTCATAAAAGATGATTTCAAAATCTAGGGCTTAATTTTCGGTCAGGTGAATACTCTGTGCCTTTTGTTCCTGTAAGAAAGGATTATTTGATATTCAGAGTTGGGGGGAAAAATGGAGTCTTTGAATATTAGAATTCAAAAGGCCAGGCTGGCTAGGATGGGTTGTGCAATGTCACTGGACACAGGTGACCTGAGTTCAAGTTCATCTCCCAATCAGTGAGATTGGTCCTGGGACAGGTTCCTGAACTTTGCTGAGCCTTACAGTCTTTGTCTACAAAATCTGAACAAAAGTTCCACTAGATGTGACAAATAAATTATAGAAACCCACCAGTTCAGTTCTGTTTACACAATAACTCAGAAAGGTCACATATACTTTGTAGAGTCACACAGCTTTGCAGTAGAGCCAAAGAGCCTGTCTGTGGCAGATCTAAGGTTGGATTAAAAACAAAAAAATCCCATTACCTCTGTAATGGGATAAATCTGAATTGCTATGATCTCAATGTCATTCAAATTTCACCAATCACAGAAAATTAAATATCAGATAAACCAGGAAAAAAGAGGAAATATATGCAAATTAAGTGTAAAAACAGTGGAACAATTGAGCATACTGTAATATAGTCCATGAAATATTTCAGAAAATTATACTCATCTCTCTATAATTTAAAGTTCAGCTCCATCAGAATATGCAACTTTTCTAAAAAGCCATCCAAGATGTTAAAGGAAAAAAAAACCTTAAATGATACAATTTGACCCTACTTCCTCAATGTAAACATAATTTAAAAGGAAACATTTAAAATTTTTAAAACTTCATTTTGAAATAATTATAGATTCACAGAAAGTTGCAAAGCCAGCACAGAGAGGCCCTATGCAACTCTATAATTTCAGTAGTTGAGCTTATACTCAATTCTGGCTTCTGCTTAAATCTGGATCAGCATGATGTTACACTTTACCCAAGGTAGGGTCTTTATTCCTCAGATTTGCCCTATGTACCATTGCTAATAAGGCAGGTCTGGAAACAATGGTAAACATGCTTGTATTTTCCCCCAGTTTTAGCACTCCATACAATTCTAACAAGCATCTAGCTTAAATATTGTTTTTGGAAACAATAATCATTAGGTCTTAAAACTTCTCCCCATTTCCCATTTGACTGTGGCATCTCTTTAGAAAGCTGCTTTCTCTCTTGGGTATGGATCACTGTATTATTGAGGAAATATACCACACAAAATGAGGCACATGCCTGGGTATAAGATATTCATTTCTCCATGCAACATATTATGATGAAGTGACAATAGCTAAGGGCTGCCATGAGCACTGTTAGAATAGCTGCCAAGTCTGAGCCAGTTCCTGCTCTCAGGGGCTTCACATTTCACCAAGGTAGATAGCAAATTTCCAAGTAGCTTGTTGCAGAGGTATAACCAGGTGGATCTAACTTAGTTTTGGACTTAGGGAAGGCTTCCTTTCCTTTCGTCTAGTCATCCTGGAATAATCATTGTTTTCCTTTATGGTTACAGAAGCTTCACATTCTTTATATTTGCATCTCCATGTTTCTCCTGAAACATGTTCTTACATATTTGCTTACTCTTCTATTTGTGCAAATAAAAATGCACTGCTTTCAGACAATGGTCCCATTACATCAGCTCCTTCAACACGTCCTGGCAAAAAATGACGAATATAAGCCTCTTCAAAATTCAGGGTCATGCATATGGTCTTTAAGCTAAACACTTCAGGTCAGTAACCAGGTGTGTGGTGCTGATACAGAGATTTCCTGACCTCCATGGGGCTGGGCTTGCTGTGTCTGGCACTAAAAGAGATGGAAACTGAGGCCCATTATCTCATACCTGCTTCACAGTCTTCAGGAGATTAGGGGCTCCATCCTGCCTTGCTTGTGGAGCAGGGTATCTGATGACATTAATTTGACTTAATGGTTCATTAAGACATGCAATTGCTGGTAAATCCATATACACAGACTTGTGAGACTGGGCATTATTTTTAAAAATTTTTTTAAAAGTAAATCTAAAAGTAAAAGTAAAATTATTTATTTATACATACAAGAACTGGGATATAAGCCAGAGGTGCAGGGGTGAGAGGATTCACTAGAGACAGAGTGAGGAGCAGAACAGGCAGATCTACTGAAATATACTGCTGAGGGCAGTGGACACCAGGAGAGGTCTGCTGAGCCATGTGGGTCAGCTCCCTGGCCACAGATTGAACTCATGCCACAGTCCTTGGCGATAGCTTGATAGCACTGAGATTTTAACCTCTGCGTCACCAGGGAGGCCTGAAACTTGGCACTATTAATTAATGCTCATTGCTTTAGTCCCATTTTCATTTCCTGACTAGTAGGTATGGGGGTACTGTTCTGGTAGTTTCTTTCTCTTTTGCAATATGGTAGTCACTGTCAATTCATTTAAAATGACAGTTTCATGGCACTAGACTAAAAGCAAGTTGGCATTTGTTATGGTTCGTTTGCTGATTTGTTGAGGAAACACTGGTGTACACATTGTACATGTTTTAGGGGTAGGAAGAGGTATTTATGCATAACCAGTTCTTGTATGCATAAATAAATAATTCAACTTTTACTTTTAAAAAAAATTTTAAAAATAATGCCCAGTCTCACAAGTACAGGTTCACTTCTTTGTTATGGTTTTATTAACTCTTTTTTGGTGTGCTGTTTTGCACAGCCCACCGCAATCCTCATTTGGTTGAGTTCAGTTATTACATTTTCCTCCAGATTTTTTCAAAGTTGTTACTACATTTTCCCAACAGATGGTGCTGTGTACAACAAAAAGCTGCCTATTTCACTATTGAGTTCAACTGCTTTTGCCGTCTAACCTAAAACTCTTAAGATTGCTATTTGTCTCATCTGATTAAAGTAAAAACATGTAAGTTCAACTGAAATAAACTGATGTAGCA